TGAGAAATGCTTTCATGTGGGCTGTTTGAATGCGTGTGGCTTTTGCCACACATGCAGATCTGCTGTTGGCAGGGGGTGGAGAGCGCCCCAACGCTGGAGAAAGGTAAGTGGCTGAAGGGGTTTTAACACATTCAGCCGGGTGGGGGGGAAACCTAATGACCCTACAGTGCCAGGAAAACGTGGTTTTTTTTTTTTTTTTTTTTTATAAAATGTAAGTAACAGTGTGCAACTAATATACGCTGCCTTTGTATAACAAGGCAACACTTCGGTCTCTGTTGGGGTGGAAAGTGTATCCAAATTATGTTGATGTTACAAAGGTGTAAGTATCCATGTTTAAGTGGTGTATGCTCTTTTTGTAACACTGCACCACTTTGACAGCTTTCTGCCTGATGGGCATTACACTAATGCAGCTGAGACTACATGTGATGGAGAGGTTCTGCCAGTTGGCTTTAATGAGGGAATAGGTAGCCATGACCAGACAATAAATATTGACTCATTCAATACCATTTCCATCAACATTGTCAGCAGATTTTTTTTTTTTGTGAGAACAGGAACATGGCCAACTTGTAAGGGATTAGGAGTACATGGTGGAAGAAATAAAGTAGATTTAAAAAAACTACTTACATTGGTACAATACTTTTCAGCTATGCTAATAAGGTGTTGATACAAACCCACAAAAAGGTACAAACTGAAAGCAGATGATTTTTAAAAGAAAAATCTTGTTCTTTTAATGGAACCTACAGGTGCAAAGTCAGACATTTTAGAATAAGGAACCAACAAGAAATGTATTACATTAAAATGGGGTTCAGTTAAAGATAACATTAAAGTAACATTATAGCGTTATATACAAACATGTATTCCTAACGTTTGAGTGTTAGTCTACCTCATTTGATCATTTTGACTGCAATACTAGTGATCTCAGCCATACCAATCCTTCCTCATAGGGAAGGATTGTGAGGCTAGTGCACATACATGACAATCACTGTACTGCAGACATCGAGATGCATTGAATAAAAGCGTCTTTATGGGTAGTGTTCCGCATCTCTAGGCAGATTGTGGAGAGGCTGAACGTTGGCCCTGCAATTTTTGTAGGACCGTATCCAGGAAGTCCCACTAGAGGTGGCATTGGGCTGGAATGTCATAAAGGGCAATATTTAACTGTTAAGCCTGCAAGGACAAGATCTTTGCCCTAGAACCTGTGCACAAGCTGTAGTGGTTCTAACCCTGTTGAGTCCCTTCAAATGGGGGGGGGGAAACCCTTTTGGGACCATTATAGACCGCAAACTAGGCAACAGTCTGCAATGTAATGTTGCCACTGTAAAGTTTAGTAAGACACTATCCTGCACAAAAAGGTTGTCACAATCAAATTATAATTTTGCCTCAAAGACCTCACCTTGAATATGCAGTGCAATTTTTGAAACTGGTTTTAAAGAATATTACAGAACTAGAAAAAGTATAGAGGTTGTGTATAAAATGAATAAACGGAATGATATTAGTTATCAAGGGACTACAAAAACATGTTTTCTTTAAAATAAAAAAAAGTCAACCTTAGCATAAGTAGTGTTGGGTTATTTTTTTACATGGCCCCAGCACTATACCCTAGAAGAGAATGTTGAGAAATAAGTTAAACAATACAGAATACAGTTATCTGTAGTCCCAAAATACCCAATTAGAGGCCCTACATTTAGTCATAGAATACTTTGGACAGCATTTTGGAGTCAAGGTCACCAGTTGAAAAATAATCCAGCATACAATGGAGCTCCACTCGGCCACTCTGTCAGGTAGGATGCTCAAGTGAGATTGCAGCTTTCGCTGTATGTAAAGATAGACTGTGTGATTTCTAATCCATTCTGTTGAGAAAGCTAGGGATTGGACAATCAAGATATGCCTGTACTCCACCAAAGTCTCCTTGCTTTTAGCTTGTGATTTAAACCTGCAGCCATGGAGGTGATATTGATATAGGGTGGACGTTCCATGTATAAGCCCTATGATGGAGGGTAGCAGCTAAATTCTTACATACCAGAGCTGAAGCATGCCATAGATCCTTTTAAGTCTTCAGTTTTTCACAACTGGTAATGTCTATGAAATGCATAACTTAAATATGTAAAACAAAAATAAATGTAAATATCCAAATGAAACCATTTATATAAATACACAACTCTTAAGTGTGATAAATAGTAATTGCTGGCAGAGAAACCTGTTTTTGAGGCAGATTTTAAGCTACCAATTTGTAGCAATAACCATATATAATAAACAGGGACGTGGCAAATACCAGTCCCAACTCAGCTGTGGTTGTAGTAAGTGCATACACAAGAAATAACATAATAGAAGTTAACAATTTTAATGACAACAAAACAGTAGATAGTACAATGATAAAATGCACAATTGTTCCTAACATTGTTGCTGTATAAGACATTCCAACATGTCTCCATATAAGGAATTATTAAAAGACCTAAGCACCATAACCACTGTGTGGTGTTACACTGCAGCTGCCTTTTCTCAGTTCTAGATCGAACCATTTTCCAATGATTTGACAAAAATTAAGGCCTCCTGTTATTTTGTTAAAGTGGAATTTTTACTTTCATATTTAACAATATTATATTACATTATATAACTGTTATAGGTTGAGCACATGAACATGTGAAAAGTGGAAAATCCACATTAGCAATAGGCAAGCAGTCCATGGATACCTGAGGGTAACAACTACAGGCTTGCAGCACCGTAACCAATACAACATCATATTGTGATTATGATGCTTAGACTGCCCCTTTAACAACTTGGGATTAGCCAAAGCTCTTTAGCCAATGAATTAAATTAAGAACTATAACAATTTTAGGCCAAAGTGATAACTGTATGGTTTAATTCTGCATGTAAGTTTAATAAGTCACATGTATGGAAATTCATGGGTGGTTGCGTGTGCAAAAGTACCCTTAATTTAGTGGCAACATGAACTCTACGCAGTAGGTCCCCTTAAGCAATAGCAGAGCAAAGGTGTGCACGTATAAATGTATTTTCTCTCATTCTAAAGAACAAAATACATGCTAACTAAGGCAGCGCCCCCAACACACTGTTTACCCACATGATTGCTCACCAGGTGGTCCTTGAATAGGTGGGTTGCGCTCTCGGTGCTATAATAATGCCAACAATAAAACCCCCCACATTTAGGGAACCTACAGAGGTAATTATGTAACTTTGCTATTCCTTTATACCTCAGGCTTGCTAAGTGTAAAAGCACATAAATTAAAATAAAAAGAAATTCATTAAGATGATTAAGGAAAAAAAAATAATACTAATATATCCAATAGCTAACTTTTGGTTGCCCTAAAATCTGGGAAGTAAAAGTGAGTTTGAGCACTCTAACTCAATATGAATGTTAAAGCCGCTTAATTCAATATGAATTAAAAAAAAAAATTTTTTTAGACATGTGGATCTACTCTTCTGCTTTCCCAGCACAAATGTTTTTTTTTTAATTATTATTAATTGGAAACTACTATTATGCCGTTTATCAACAGGCTTAAAGGGACCCTATAGGCACCCAGACCACTTCATCTCATTGAAGTGGTTTTGGTGCAATGTCCCTGGCCCTCTTAGTTCTGCAATGTTTACATTGCAGCACCAACACTGCCTCTAGAGACGCTTCCAGGAGTTTACCTGACTTTGGGTCCCCTAAGTGACGCCAGACATCATCACGCACTGCATGAGGACATCCAGCATCATTAACACACCCCATAGGATCAAATGCTTTACTGTGGGGAAGGCCTAATGCTCATGAGCATTAGATCAATTTCTCCCCTCACCTCTCCAGCTCTGTCAGAGAAAGAGTGCTGACCCAGCACCAAGGGACATCAGTGCTGGAATCAGGGAAGTGATTAAATGGTTTTTAATCCTTTCTAAACTTGGGGAATGGGAGGTGTGGGGGGACAGGACCGGAGGGCACTATTGTATTAGGAATACAGATTTGTATTCCTAACACTCTAGAATCTCTTTAAACGTCTTCTTGAAAAATTATGTCAGGAATTCCTAACTTTTTTTGTAAATTGGATAAATGTATTGGTACTTGAAAATAGATTTAAAGATACAAGTTAAATGTCATCCATTATCCTAGTATTTTTCTTGGGTTACAAACACCCCCTAGAATTTCAGGATAGTCCAGTCTGTAAGAGTGTCTCTCTTACATATTCAGGTTTGTCATTAAACTGTCGCAATGAGAGTTTTAGTTCTCTGCATCTCTATTCCAATGAAACAAACTTCGTATTGAGCATTTTTGTTTGCTTGTTTCTTTTTGATTTGTCACTTCAAGCGCATTTCTTTTTAACCAGTAGAGGCAGATGGATGATCAATACAGTTCTCATGTGCTGCCTACCTCCCTGGTTCTCACAGCTTACCAAAGATAATTACAGCAATAGGATAGTCTCATTCCTCCCTCAAAGTGACACCTCAAAGCTGAAGAATCACATTGTTAATAATAAAACTATGGGTCAAAGTTACCCACTTAGTCTGGAACCCAGCATATCTGTCTAGTTTTTATCTTGTATTTGCATTAATATGCCTATTACATTTACTCTAAAACCTTGCGCTGTTAAACCTTTAAATCAGGATTAGCCAGCAGTAGTCTATCAAGATGAAGTGGTCTATTTAGTTCATGCTGTGGTTCAACCATCAGGTGTATAGAGTCGGATGAGATGTTGCAGCTCAGTTGGATAGCCACTCACTGGACACCGCTGGTGAGTTTTAACATAGTAATATGCACATCGGTAGCAGAATACATATCCTGAGGTGCCCAGGGCTGTATCATTGACTCGTATCTTGCGGCAAAGTGGGCACACAGTTTTTAACTTGGGCAAAAGAGGGGAATATGTTTCTAAGTCAAAATGTATGGGGGCAGGGGGAGCAGGCAAAGAACTCAAGGATTTGAGTGTGTCTTGGTTTTCTGCAGAGTACCACCACTCAAGAAACTGCAGGAAGAAGACGCCAAGTGATAAGCTGGAGGATACAGACAAGGCTACACCACCAAGCACTTTCTTCATTGTGTCTTTCATGCGTTGACCCATGCTACAAAAAAAAGAGGCACAGGATTCAGCTGCAACATTTAGATAAACTATAACACACATACACAAAATGTATTGCTTGAAATTGCACGGGGTTATTTACTAAAGTGAGAATAGGCAAATGGAATTTCAAATTAAAAGATCAAAGTAGCCAAACAAATCTGATATGCACACAAGGGATTTAAAAAAAACTGAACAAAATCCAAGATAAAATCCCTGTGCTCACTGAACCTAGAGGGGTATCAGTTACACTTTGCTGACGAGAACCAAAGAAGGCCGATATGATAGCCAGGGTTGCTGCAATATTTTTTTTACATAGTCAACTAGCTGGCATTTTGGTTCTGGACTGCCTTTATGGGTGAGATCAGTCTGATATGCAAATGGTATAGGTTATTTCTGTACTGGCATAAGTGAGCAGAAACATTTTTGAGATCTGAGTGTGGACTAACCAAAGGACAAGCTACTGAGGTTTCTCTAAGCTTTCTTTTGTTTTAAGATTTCTCACAGTCTGTTTTTGTTGCAAATAAAGCACTTCAGCTTGCTTTGTGGCCATTTAAAAGATTGCCGATTTTTATATATGGGTGCAGAAATGCCTCCCTGGTAGTTTAAAAGAACTAGAAGAAGACACATAATACAAATACACTTACCTGAAAAACCAAACCAAGCAGCTGAACTGCATCCTATGTCCCAGCAGCAATTTGGGATTTGATAATCTGTCAGACTAAACTGTTTAAATCTCCTTATAAAGCCCATATAACCACTGTCATCTCCTTAATGATGAAATAAGGCAAGGTTTGACAACTTTGTTTAGAATCTAGGAGCCAGCTAAAAAAAGTTAGTAGCCAGTCATTTTCAATGAGAAAAATGCAATTCTTAAAGGGCCACTATAGTAGCCAGAAGCACTACAATTTGATGTAGTTGTCCTGGTGTCTATAGCCTGTCCCTGCAGGCTTAACACTGCCTTTCCAGCGAAAAGGCAGTGTTTACATTGCTGCTTAGTAACACCTCTAGTGACAGTCACTGAGACGGCCACTAGAGGGTCACTGCTGCGCCACGTTCAGGGTCTCTCTATCAGGAGATGGGGATTGGCACATTTGCTGCGCATGCACGAAATCCTCCCAATGCTTTCCTGAGTAAAACACGTTCCTCGTGCGATCGGAGGGAGCAGGTGCCTAAACGCCCACACTCTGACAACAGGCTTGCATGCACACTGACAGGCTCACAGACGCTCACACTCACTCTGGCAGGCACACACAGACACTCACTCTGACAGACAGACACACACTCAGATACTCACCCTGACAGGCTCACACACGCTCATTTTTGTTTTCATTGAAACCCACTCAGCCTCCCTCCCTTTCCCTGGGGTCTAGTGGGGCTATTATCTTCCTGCGCATGAGGAGCATAGAGCCGCCCGTCTGGGCATTGTAGGCGGCAAGCGAGGGAGCAGTACTTTGCCTGCAGCTCCAATCTGCTCCCTCGTGCTCTCTGTAATGATGTCGGGGCCGGTGTGACATCATATTCCAACTCCCAGCATCATTAAACAACGCAAGGGAGAAGATTGGAGCTGCAAGCAAAGTACTGCTCCCTCGCGCGCCGCCAACAAAGCACCCGTGGGCGGCTGGCTCTATGCTGCCTCAGCCGGCCACCTCCATGGTGCTCACAGCTCCAATATTTCCCGCAGAGCTGGCAAATCCCAGGCGCCAGGGAGAAATTTCTAGTTGCCATGTCGACCTGGTGCCTGGGATTTGTGGAGCCCTGGAATAAGGGGAGAACCCCAGATATTAAAAGGAGTGCACCCAGGGAGAAAGCTTTACAAGGGCTGTATAAATTGGGTCTGCAAAGAAATAGATGTTAAGCTTTCCTTTTTCCTAGGTGGGCTTTTTCAGATAAATAATATCTGGTGAGGATAAAATAACCTGGCCGTCTAAACCAGGATACATTTTACTGTTATCGAGTGCAAGGAAAACACTGTCTGTTACGGAGTTGGCAGAATATTTATACAAATATCAGAGTTTTCTGCTGTGATTGAGAGAAGCTATCCCATTAGTTAATGCTACGGTTTGATCAGGATAGTATCACCTAGCTATGTTTTCACTTAAACTGCATTAGTTTTCTTCAACAACTTACCTATCATTAGCTTGCCCTGATGAGGTTTTTGCCGTGGTCTTCTCCATGGCATGTAGATCTTCTAACGTTAGCCTTGTCAGCTGTACTCCAGCTATCTTAAGTAGTGGAGAATGGTGCCTGGCATTCCAGAGGATATATCGTAGCTGGTAGAATAAAAACCAACCTTCCCAAGCAAATTTCACAAAGGGGTATGTTGCGAGGATAGCTTTATACCATCTTTTGCGGAAAGATGTTGTGTTGTGTATGGAGTAATCCTCTTCTTCCTTCAGCTTGTTCACAAACTTCTCCAGCTTCATCCGCAGGTAAGGTACAAGTACCAGAAGAAGCAGGGACTTCCAGTACTCCTTCCTTCTAAGAGGACGAAGGCCACTCTTACTTCCTTCTGTCATCCGCTTCAATCCATAAAAGTTTTCAGAGAATGAAGCTCTGGCCCAGGACAAGTAGTGCTGCTGTAGAAGCAGGTCCAGCAAGGTATAAAGCTCATCAAACCATCTCCACAAAGTGCCATAACGTGCAGGATTGGATTCTGCAAGAACCTGCGAAATAGAGATCATATAGCCATACCTCAGAAAGCATGCATGGCAGAAGGCTTTGGACATTATTTCCAGCTAAACATAAACCTTTGTTGATATGCCTTCCTAATGTGGAAAAAAACTAAAAATGAACACATACAACACAAACAATTATTTTTTACATATTGCATCTGCCTATCTGTACCAATTAGTTTGAAGCTGTCAAAAGGATTGTGATACAAGGGATAATAATGTGTTAACTGTGCCCGCAATTTCTATAAAGAATGAAGAAATAAAGAGAAAGATTTAATTTCAAGTGCTTGCAACGCATACTGTTTTTATTAAACTGAATGGTATGCCTGCACTATTTATTTTCAAAAGAATGTGGTAGTGAAAACAAAGGGAAACTCCACTGCACAAATGCAACACACATAAAAATCACAATTTAGCAGATATACCCCAATGAGAAATGCATCCATTTTACATTGGAAGTATATCTAAAAACAGCTTGCAAAAGATGCAGATGTCATCCCTTCCAACCAAGCCCAAACTTTCTGAAGCTGTCCAACCACAGACTTCCCATTGTAGTTCAATTAGAAGTCTTTGCAAAGCATGTGCTCTGAGCAATTACTGCCTCTTAATTTGAGGGGACACTCTAGACCCCTAAAGCACTTTAGCTTGCTGAAAAGCTTTGTGTGTGAATGGTGTGCTTTTTCAAGCATTTTTAGATATGCCACCAATTAAAAATGATAATTAAATGCATGCAATTTTTTTTTTATTGGCGTTATATCTGCTAAACAGTAATTTTTTTTTGTCTGGTTGACAGTCTGGAGAATGTAAAAAAGTTTCTTTATAAAAATGTCAATTTCTATTGAAATCTGCGCTTTGAAATATGAGAAAAAGAGTACACGCACTTCAGAAACTTTAGTGGTCTTAAATGTCATTTTATAGTAGAAAGATAAATTTAATAATGATAGCATAGCTAGGTTTTTCCTTTGAATTCACATACTTAGAGCTAGGACTTGCCTTTAAACTCACAGTTCACTGTTTAGGGAATACACTCAAATGTAATCTACAGAGTATTAATATGTAAATAAACTGATTTTTTTACAATTGTTCCAAAAAGCCTATTTGTATGCTTTCTCATAAAGGAGTGGGAAATTGGTCTTAAATGGATTAGAGAAATTGTGGTACTCAGTATCTGAACTACACAGATGACGATCCAGTAGATAAAGAAACATGACATCTCAAATCATAATGAGTAAAGCAAGCTAAGTGTTTATATATATATATATATATATATATATATATATATATATATAGATAAAGAGAGAGAGCGCGAGAGACAGAGAGAGATCCCAGATACACAACAGACTGTGCTCCAGATACATTTCATACCAATGTCATGCTTAAAGGAACATTTTAGGGTCAAGAACACAACCATGTATTCCTGACCCTATAGTGCTAAACCCTTGCCCCCTTAAAAGCAATTTAAAAACTCACCTCATTTCCAACGCCGCGGGTCTGCCGGCACTGGCTTGCACCCTTGGTGACATTATCACAAACCGACGATTTTTAGCCAATCCAATGCTTTCCCATTTTTTTCGGCCAATCAGCACCTCCTCATAGAGATGGATTGAATCAATGCATCTCTATGAAAATTCAGCTGAACGGCAGTGCAGCCTACTGTGCAGCACTAAGCCAGGAAACACATCCAGTGGCCATCTGAGGAGTGGCCACTTGAAGGTGTCCCTAGGGCAATGTAAACACTGCGTTTTCTCAGAAAAGGCAGTGTTTGCATTAAAATGCCTGAAGGCAATGATTATACTCACCAGAACAACTAAACTATAATTGTTCTGGTGACTATAGTGTCCCTTTAATAAAAATTCCCATTTAAGCAAACCAGATTTCTGAACAATAGAATATACACTCCATAATTTGAGCAAAATCACATCTTCTGAAATGAAAAGTCACTGTATAATCCAAGAGGGAGAACTGTGTGCACATATGTGTTTTCACCAACTCACCCATAGCAATATGTCACTAACCTTGACAACATGATGCAAGGCTGGCCTTACAGCTGCCATTAAACTCTCCTGGGCTACCACCTCAAAAATAGATGGACGATCATCTCCTGGAGAAGCTGTTGTGATGTGTGCGCCGCGTTCTGCCATTTTCAGGATGTATTCTATAACAATTTTTTTCCAAAG